ACGACATTTTGTGTTCTATGTTTCCTGTCGAATTACACGGTACGTAGGCTGACTAAAAAGCCAACACACCATGCATCGCCGCTCAGTATTAGACCAGTCGTGTAGAAATAGAGGCAACTTGGGAATATGGTGAAGCTATAAATGGGAAAACAAATCAACATTTGCGAATACCCTGATCCCAACTCATGAATGTTAGAGTACCTGAAGAGAAGCAAGCGGCAGACAGGCGAGTAATTTTCTTTTTCTACCGCAGGGGAGATTTTTTTTCACTTGAGAAGTTACTTAACTTTCCACGAAAGGTTGCAATAGCAACAGCGGAAAAGAATGATATGTGAAAGAGGCCTATACATAATAGGTTTATAAGCGGATATATATCTACATATGCCTCCTTATATAGCATGTTAGATTATATCAAAAAAGTACGTGCCTGATACCGTAAATTTAGATTGTAATGGTTGTAATGATTTTAGAAAATAGTGTGCTCCTTAACTATGTATTAAAAAGACAACAAACAACCATTAAAAATTTAAAATCATTCAGGCCCATTTCTATTAGATGGAGGCAATGAATTGTCCAAACTTAATTTCTTTTTCAAATGACAAAATGGTCGAACTATAAAAACCCCAAACAATAGATTCATCAAGGTTGTTTACAAAATTGTAATGTTGTGTATTAAAGTGAACATCTACAATCAAACCTTTTTTCCCTGCTCGATGACGGATTAAAATGATTATCATGGATTAATGTTTTTGCTTCGAATGGATCAATTAAGTGACATAAGTATTGTGACAAACGTGAAAGTAAGAGAGCGAGAGAGAGAGAGAGAGAGAGGGGGGGAGAGAGAGGGGGGGAGAGAGCGAGAGAGAGAGAGAGAGAGGGGAGAGGAGAAAGTCAGGGAGAGGGTGAGAGGGAAAACAAAAACAGGAGAAATTTACAAAGAGGAGAGAGTATTAGGACGAGAAGAGAAAAGAGGCATCAACGAAAGCGAAAGAAAGGGAATGGGGGTCCGAGAGAGAAAGTAGAGATGGCAGAGGATGAGGGGTTCAAGATGGAATGGAATCGGGGGCAGGTAAAGAGAGTCTTCAGTCGTGAGTATGTTAGGGTTGTGGTAATTGGAGCGTGACTCGATGATTAGTTTATGATGAAGTCATCCAAAAAATGGTCTGCCGCTGAGCATTTAACCGTCTGTGACAGATTCACCTTATTGGGGAGACAAACCTGGGAGGGACATAGTTGGGATGCTAGATACGATATTGATTGAAAGATTGGGTAGAAATCATATATTCAAATTTAGAAGATATTGAATAAAAAAATATTAATGACGGAAAGTTGGGTACAAAGTGAAACAGGTGGTTCTTCCAAAATGGGAGTAACGCATAAAAATGTTACAGGACTCAAAATATCATTTCTATTTTATTTCAGATTTATAAAAATGCACAGGGATACTTTTTGTCGCTAACATCACATACTTGCGTAAGTCGATTTTAGTGTTAAAAATTAGAATTGGGCGAGAACTTGAATACTTGGAAGAATAATGGCGTCGAAAAGCACACTCTGTGGATGTAAATGTGGACAAAAGAGTCTACAAAAAAAGAGAGGAACCGTGGTACTTGCGTAAGTCGATTTTAGTGTTAAAAATGCAAATTTGGCGAGAACTTGAATACTTGGAAGAATAATGGCGTCAAAAAGCACACTCTGTGGATGTAAATGTGGACAAAAGAGTCTACAAAAAAGAGAGGAACCGTGGAGATGCATTGGACAAAATGGAGAGGGGGAGAGATGAGGAGAGAGAGAGAGAGAAAGCAAGAGAAAGAGACAAAGAGAGAGAGAGAGAGAGAGAGAGAAAGAGATGGAGAGGGGAGAAAGAGAGAGGATAAAGAGAGAGGGAGAGGGAGAGTGAGAAAGCGAGAAACATTTGGCATGTTGGGTGGAGTATATAGAATTGATGCATCTTCTTCGCTCTAGTTATCTCACCATCTCACACCAATATTCTCCCGGGCTAAGTCAGGCCTACGATCAATACAAAAGTGTATCTGCCATTCATTTCCTCCATCTCATCCTGAACACATCACCTTACCATAACCAGTTGAAGAAAAAGAAAAACCACATCCCTGCTTCTGCTTCTTTTTCATTCACTCATTACATTAGCGAGCGAACGTGCGCGGACGTTGAACCAGACAGAAGTGAAAGTGGCGCCAAAGAGTGGCGCCTCAGGGGAATTTCACCTGGGTGTCGTCTACATCTGTGGCGGCGGTTTACCGGGGTCTCCCCGCGTCACCGTTTTTAGATTTTAAAGGTGTGATCGAAGTTTGTATAGGCGTGTGCGTGTGTTTTGCCGTGTGTGTGTGTGTGTGTGTGTGTATTCTTGTCTTTATCTATGTGAATATCTACAAGTTAAACTTATGATAGTTGGAGAGAACGAATCGCTTATTCGGACTTGAGATGTTTTGAAATTCCATTATTTTACTCTCATGGAAATGAGTAACCTCACCACCGTCACCGTTTATCAGAAGATGCGCCAAAATCACATCTTGTATTTCGCTAATAATAATTGTATTAGCCTAGGAAAAAGATATTCTCAATTCACATTTGCAAATGCAACATCGTGTGTTGATATAAAACTCTGCTATGCGTTGGTGTAGTGGTCAATTGTGTGTCTTCATGTCAACTCACACGGCTTTGAATCCGAGTCATATATTTCGGATGGTGGAGGTTCTCTCTTAAGTAAATAATCAGATCTGAATGATGATTTTTGTAAACATAGGCCTATGTAAAAAAAATATATATATCATTACACAAACGGGCACAAACCAAAGACGTTTAAATATACAAACCCATTATACAAACAGCGTATGCCTTTATTTGCCTTGATGTCTAAAAGCAATTGGTCTTTAAAATCAAATGGTCTTTCGAATCAAAACTTTTTCAATAACCAATCGTTTTCTGAAAATACTCGTAGTAGGCTAAACTTCGTTCAAGCGACCACTATTTGCGTTTATGTCCGAAGACCACAACGCACCTTTAAGCTGTGTCATTCCAATACTCTGACCATTGACGAGAGTAGTGTACACCATGCATATGCATCATGTCTGGCTTACCTCTCCACCTGAAAATCTTGTCTCCACTATCCACTTTTTCCCTCCTTTATTTTACCCATCTTCTATTTGCTTTTTCATTTCTGCTACTTCTGGTCACACTCTGAAACAGAATCTTCAATTACAAACACTTGCCGCATGCGTGAGTCATTCCTTCAATTCTTTAATTCACCTATTTCTTCGATCAAAATCATATAAATAAAAAAAGTGTGCCCAAATCCCTCTGGTGTCACGTGTCCTAGGTACAGTTACAAGTTTCTTTCCGCTAGTGTTTTAGTGATTTTGCGCGCCGGTGTATGGATGAGTATTTTATTCATGAGTATGTAAGGTAGAGATGAGTAGCATTGATTTTCACAAGCTGCTCTCTTGAGCTCTCTCAAGCTCTCGAGATGATCTTGTTTAATGAGAGAGAGATGCATGATGGGTAACATGATGAGGCGGAGTTAGAGAATGATTTGGTCATGCAAGTGTGTCATCAATCATCCATGAAGTGGTTTTTTATATTTGTTTTATCGACTCGAAATGCAAAGAGAAAGCGCTAAAGCAGGTGATATTAGGTTGTATAACATATTTCTATGTTCTCGTGATGGAAAAGGTTGATCATATATGATTAGAGTTACAATTCGATATGCTGTGCTGCAATTTAATCAACATAATACTGCAGTTACAATTCATAGTATTTGAATAGAAGTATGACAGCGTAATATAAATTCTCGTAGATATCTTGTAGCGTGTCGAAAGTGTCAAATTATGTGCATTTGTTTTTATACTTCTTATTAATATTTATGAATAAATTATCTCATCTGTATTTTTCGAAGAGTTAAAAATGTAGAAACCTTTTTTCAACATTATCAGTATTTTTCAAAGAGTTTCAAATGTGTGGAACTTTTTTTTAAATAGGAACCATCTCTCCAAATAATATTACCATCTATTTAACATAGAATGCCCGATTATATTTATTGCGTAATACCGTTTAGCGAGTTATGATCACCATAATTAGATTTACCATTGTCTGTAGCTGTTGCATGCACCATTGTCGTTGAAATACTGTCGAAGGTGCAAGAAAATTCAATGGAATATTAGTATACCAGTGGAGGGGAGTGCGGTATTTTATTTTTGACATCTTGATAATTGACAAGCTTAACCTACGGCATGCCATGGTGTTGAACGATATGCGCTCGAAAGTGATTGACTAATGTAAACCAGCTCGCATAAACGGAGCTTTGAAAAGGCGCCAATTAGAGAAATATTCACGGCATAATATTATGAAGAGCGACAAATCCGTGAACAGGTGCGCAAATATGAAAGGGGATTGAGGGTGATTTAAGGAACCCTGTCGCCGCTTCCGCTGCCCGGATAATGAAAGTTGGTGGTTTCTGCTCTCCCCCCCCTTCTTTCTCCAGTTCAACATGAATGCTTTACGAACAGTTTTAGAAATCCTTCGGTCTATTGAAAACTATTAAAAATCGATTTGTAGTGTAGACCTGCAGTGAATTTCTGCCACTTCTAATCATTTTTTAAATGTTTCAAATTGGTTCTCAAAGAGATAATACCAAAGCAATGTTTATAAGCTTCGGTATAATCACGCGTTGATTTATAAAAGTTAAGGATCAGAAAGCTAAAGACACTTCTCGCTTTCATCACATGTTGACATTAACCGTAGAACAAAGCTAGGATTGCTTTTACATTTGTTGGAATGTTCAAACAGTTTTTAAATCGTTTTAGTTTTTACATGTTTCAGATGAAAGCCTACATCGTTGTTCTCATTCACAGAGTATTTACATTTTGTTTTGGTCGGTTTTCGAATGTCAGTATTTTCACTTTTTTAGGCTTTCTAGCCTCCAACTTGGTTTTCTTCTCATTAATACTTCTACCTATCTCTCGCATACCAATCTCTCCACACAGGCACACGTGAAATATAGACGAGGCGTACACCACTCCACCGCAATTAGCCAATCACAACCCTCATGTGACATCACATGCTCGTAATTACTCACGCATGCTGTACAACCAGTCAACTTTTCGTGGGAGATACGCAGACGACACTTTGAGCCAAAAGCATCCCGCCGATATCTCCCAGTTCGCGGAGTGCACATTTTTGGAATAAGTCAGGCGTCTAATACTTTTTCGTGGAGTGTTTGCGTACCAGGGAATTCTCGCTTTCTATTTGGATTTACTATACATGCCGAAGTAACTGGATTCAATACACCATCGTGTTTTGTGGATTCATTTTAACTGGAAAAAGGTATGTGCATTTGTCGATTTATTAACCAAATTACACTTGAAAACAGTAGAATTATAGTTCTTTGTCCAGTCATAAGCCCACTTGAATTTTTTTTAAACAGCTGTTGATATGTACCTAAATGAGAAAACATTAAGTTAAGTAGGCCTACTTTTTTCTAATTTAGATTTGTTACAAGTCGTATATTTCATTATTCACCGTAGGGATTTACTTCTGATAGGCCTTCATGTAACATTATAGGCTGTTCACATTAAAGACACTTTTGACATTTACTTGATGAAAAACTTCTATATGTTGCCATGGTAACCTTAGCAGAATCCAAGTCCCTAGCTCTAGGAGAAAAATTATCACCTTTCTCCATCTCCTTAAAGTATTCGTATTACCATGGCTTCCCCGTCTCTTCTGCCCGTTTGTATTTTACCATCGGATATCGAGTATTGACTTATCCTTTTAACAATTTAGCCTGCAGCATTATTCTCATTCTACCTTCTGAAAGCATCAATCTATTTATCTCTCTATCTATCACTATCGTACTATCCCGTATGTACATGTATTATCCGCTCTTTCTATCTCGCTCTCCCTTAACTGTCTTGCATATTTTCTTTCGCCATTTTCCTTCTTACTTCCCTTTTAAGAGGGCAATTTTTTTTTCTTTAATAATATCACTCATATTCCCTATTTTCTCTACCCACATAATTATGTCCAGTCTTTTCTTTCCCTCTTTCTCTATATTTTGTGTGCGTCTTTCTCTCCACCCCTCTCTCTCTCTCTCTCTCTCTCTCTCTCTCTTTTACCTTTTCTCTCTATTGCCCCTTTTCAGTTCTTTTCGTTCCTTTATCATCTTGCTCTTCTTCCCCCTTACTCCTATATTATATGGACACCCCTCTGTGGATCTCTCTCTCTCTAGTCTCTACATCATCTCAATGGCATGTGCCCTCCCCCTCTCTCTAATTATTATCTTTCTCTCTCTCTCTCTCTCTCTCTCTCTCACTCATTCTGTTTCACTCTCGCTCTTTTTATCTTTCAATTTCCCCCATTTCCCCCTCCTCATCACTCCTTCCTCGATTCACCTCGCCCTAACCCTTTATCTCTCTATCTTCATATATTCACCAATAATGACTTTTCAATTGGTTCTGAATGGAGAAAAATCGGTTGCGACAAATCAGGAAGAGACTGAAAAGGGACTCCCGATGTTCTATAATGCATGGCGGCCCTGGCTTGAAAACTAAAAAGTACGATGAACCCGGTGATGTCCCTAGGTCGTTGGGCTAGAGCACCTTCTGCAGTAGAGTACTTCCAATTTTGAATTATTAATTCCAAAAGTGATCTCTGTACTGTAGCTTTATCTATGGGAGCAATGCCCAAAATAAGACAAACTTGCATGATTGGATTACGCTATCTTCTGCATATTAAGGAGAGCCATGAATGACTTTCAAATCAATGAGCGGCATTCTTAGTTACAGTGGATATAGTTTCAAGATGTATAAGGCTATGGCGAAGTCTAAAACAAAATAGCTTTTTAACAGGATTTGTTGAGGGGATGGAGATGGCTGATGACCATGGAAGTGGTGGGCTTTATTTCTGCACCTCTACACTGCCTCTGACAGACCCTGGTTTGGGACGAAAGACGCGTCTTTGGGATGATTAAGTTAAACCCAGTACTCAGATGTAAAATCTGGGCCTTGCGACATGTAATTAGACGTTGTAAGCAATCGTGAATATTTATTGTTTCTGCTGTAATCTGTCTATGACTTTAAACTATCATAAGTTACTTTTCACTGTAGAGTTATAATGGATTGAAGGAGATACTATTTATTTTGGTAGTATATAACTATATTAATCGTAACTTGTTATGGTGCAAGGCCCAAATCAGATTTATAAACGTCTGTAAAACCCCAAAACATTCATATCCAGCACACACCCGCTCACACCCACACGCACGCACACACGCACACATGCAAGAACTCAGTGTAGACAAAATAATTAGGGGTGTGTGAGCATTGTGCATGGAAGCATAGGGAAGCCTTTTGAATCATGTGCTAATGTATTGCAGAAATTGAATAAAAGGAGTCACATTCCTCTAACTCTCTAAGGTACACCACTAACGATCCCTGTCAGTGATACCCTACAAAAGAAGAAAATTAATGGTAACATTAACAAAAAGTGTCACTTAACATTACAAGAAACCGTTTGAATTCATGTTATGCTTGTTTGATGGGAGAATTACAGTCGGGAGTTAGATCGAGGCCGTCGTTTCTAAATCATCTCCTTTGTTATTTACTCGTATTTTACTCCTTTTCATTGAGCAAGATCGGTCTACTAATTTCTGTGCCGATAGCCGACAAAGCATCCCGCGGGAATTTTTGTATGTGTTTATTCTCATCCATTCAGGGCACAGAGGAGGAAAGAATAAAATGGAGGTAGAGGCATTGCAAGGGGATTGAGGAGATAATCTAACACATAGCTGCAAATGGATCCTATATAGTCGTGCTTTCACTTTACAGGATTTAAATGTTTTGTCATAGTATAAAGGTACAAAAAGAAATAACTTGTGTAAAGGTCATAGGTACGTTTGGGATTTGTTGTTGTTGAAAAGTCAATATAATTACGTATATATATGTATGCTCAGAAGATACTCTGTAATTCCTTTTTATACTAATAAAACTCGATGCATTTTAGTCTAAATAGATCAATTATTATGAAGCGATTCAAGTCATGCAAATAAATTCTTGTAATATATTATAAGCGATCACGATGAACCATACTTTTCTTGAAGGTATATTTAGATGGCATAAGGGCTACCTCTTTTTAGTTTTTAGTACCCCGTTAACAATTTGATACTCCCCCCCCCCCAGAAACACGCACACATACAAACAGGGGGGGGGGGGACATCAACACTTGCAACTCGTGTACTTTAACCCGAATGATACCCCCCCCCCCCCCCCGCAGAAACACGCACACAATAAACAGGGGGGACATCAACACTTGGCATGCAACTCATGTACTTTAACCCGAATGACATGCAAGTGTCAAAGCTTGCAATCTTAACAACATAATCTACATCTGCAACAGGGAATTTAAAGAGTGATTAGAAGTCATTAACGCCAAATTGCGCTCATCGATAAATCATGAATTTAACACACCAATACCATTACCGTGGAGGCACCAACCAAAATGGCGTCAAATGTGGCTTTGTCATCGTTGAGATTTCTTTGGAGGCAGTTGATGATTCCACTGGTGGTTCACCATGACGTTGACAGATAGGTGGTAATTATGAGTCGCTCAAGATGAAAACCTCCCGAATGTTTCACGTCTTCCACACGAATCTAGAGTACGGCTAATTGATGCAGTCATTGGCTGCTGTCACGCGGTCACGTGATGGGTGGTTGGCGCCACAAGCCAATTATGGACAATCTGTATTAATCTTGTTTTCATGGCCATGAGTATGATGAGGTATATGATACTTTTTTCACCCATCGTCTATACTGTAGTATATTATATATCTGTTTCTTAACGTACTTCATGACTTTGATCATTAAATATAGGTCATTTTTGTAAATAAAGACAAAGGTCATTATAACATCATGAAAAATAATAAACTGACCATTACAGTGGGTAACGTTAATGGTCAAACTAATATGTGATTGTAATGTTATCATTGATGTCCCTCAAAAGCAAATGACACAAATCTCTTGCCATAAGCCGTATACTAATTGCGTTTTCTCCTTAAATGCTGCCTCATATTATTGCGATATACGATGTATGAATTTGAGGATTTTAAATATGATTGTCATGACTATATTCTTCGGCTCCACCTCTTCAACAAGTGCATTCGCCATTAGGTATAATTACTTGATACAGTATATCAATGCTAGATCGTAGCCTATCCATGATGACTCAGTAATAGTCACTGCAGTTATGGTGGCGTAAAACGGATCTCTACTAATTATTGAAATCGTTACCGAGGGCACGGTGAATCGTCAACTGTCAAATAAAAAATGCAAACCAACCCCATAAGAATGACAATACTTCCAGCGAAATACTCTCAGCGACTCTACCAAAGTGGCCATGCAAATAGTAGGTAATCTCCATTCGCGATATGAATGTAAGTCCTGTAAGTGGTGGCTAGTCATCACTGCACAAGTGTTCGGAGTGTCTTCCGAAGCACGTCATGTAAGGGAAGTTCCCTTTGGCGAGCCAGGTTGGATAGGAAATCAAGGACATCCCCACGTATCTGTTTCCGAGTGCTTTTGTTCCCGGTAGTACATGATACGTCTCATACCCATCGTTGCAGTAACATGGTTTGAAAGCAATCTTGCATTAATGTAAAATGATACGGAAGGAGAGGGTTTTATCCGAACATGACAGGAAGTCCTGATCCATCTGCGTGCTCCTGACAATCAGTCTTCACTTCCTCTATCTGAAAGTAGTGCAACATTCGTTTAGAGCGCTTCCAAGTAATTGCCGTCTCTTTTGTAAATAATCTAGAGTCCTTTATATTTCTTCATATTATCATTATATTTTGCATATAGTATTTTGCTGAGGAAATTTTATGCCAGTTGTAGCTGAGCTGTCCGACGACCTATGATTTGCAATCGTATGCGAGGGACTTGTTAATCGAGGTTTGAAGCCGTTTACCCAATGAGCACACTAAAGTGGTTGCGATTATATACTGAACACATCTTAGTAGATATATACTTTCTATACCTCAGTCAAGTGTATTCTTTAATAAAGTATGATTTAAATTAATCATTTTGATTGAAATCACATCTTAGAATAAGCAATCATTCCTATAGCAGGGAAATATTCCAGGACTGTCTTTAATAATAAATAAATAACATTTGGAATGATTTTCTTCCCGGAATTTCATATTTCTAAACTCTCAAGCCCTCTCAGACTCCACCTCTGTAACATGTTTTCAGGAATACCGTACTAAATACTTTTAACAAAAAATTTCAGGATCCATACGATGCTGTGTTCCTACAGTACATTTGGTAAGAGTT